AGCGAGGCGCTGGGCTCACTGTCAACACGAATAAGACGTTCATTGTGTTCTTCGGGGAGGAGGGGAAGGATTGGGTCGTCCAGAAGTTGAAGGATAAGGGGGTTGAGGAGACAGATTTTCAGTTCGTTGCTTCTGCCAGGTATCTTGGGATTTTCTTAGGTCTCAACAGTGCGGGAGCGTCTTGGGCTCACCCGATCTCCGAGTTTAAGAAAAGAATCTGCCACATCAAGAGTCTCCAGATGGGTCTTCTTGGAAGTCTGGCGGCTTTCAACCTTGTTGGGTTTCCGACGCTTACGTTTGTGGGCCAGTTCCTCCCGCCTCCACCCGAGGCCATTAGAGCTGTCCGAGAGGCGCTGCAGGCTTTGGCCAACGGGCCCAGGCATGCGATCCCTCCGAAGCTCTTGCAGAATTTCAAGACTATCGGTGCGCCGCTCGAGCCGCGTCATCTCGAGCTCGAATGTAAAGCTGCCGCGTATCGAGTTGCCGTTCGGAGTCCGCAACTGTACCTTGCTCGTGAAGAGTGGGCCCGCGCGCTGGAAGATGATGAGAGAGTCCTTCTCCCCCGCCGGCAGTTATGGGTGCAACAGAGCATCTTTCATCACCTCTCGATTGTGCAGGACGAGCTAGAGCTGATCCCTCGATGCCCTGTTGATCGTCACGCGCCTAATCTTCAACGGAAATTGTACCAGCTCTTTCAAGCTAATATGGATGTTCCCTCTGCTGCTGCTCTTCTGCTTCCTCGGCTTCAACACTTTGATCCTCAACTTTCTCAACCTGATGCTGATCGTTGCTTTCGCAACTTGCTTCTCCTCAGCGCCGAGCTTCCCTTCTTCATTGTTGTCGCTCAGCTGCGGGGGATCTGCAACGGGTGGTGCACTACGAGGAGGTTTAGGCATAACGGAGGAGTAGCTCTAACGTGTCTATTCGGATGTCGTGCTGTCGGTGGCGATTGTGTGAGACACTACTATGACTGCCCTGTAGCAGTAGCAGCTCTCTCCCGTTTGTTCCCTAGCCTGTCTGCCTGCTTTGCCGAGCATCCATCTCTGTCTCGTCTTCTCCTTTCATCGTGTTTGCTATTCTAATCGTAGCCAGCTGCTTTCTCTAGGTGTTGCCTCTGATCTCGTGCTCTCCTCTTTCAATGCGCTGAGGAGCCAGGGAAGGATTTCGAGTGCTCAGGTTTTTGTTTTGATGGAAGCCCGTGCCCGCGCTATTGCGAAGAAGGCAATGCGGGTCAGGCTGCTTCTTGCGACAGGCGCCAGTCCCGATCACTCCGAGACTGTGCTCGCGCCTGAGGGGTAAGGTTTCGAGTTTCGGGTCCGCTTTGCTCTCGAGAGTGGAATTCATGGACATCGGACTTCTCGTTTCTCTCCTGTTGCCTCGTGTCCGCTTCTTTCGCTTCCCTTGCTCGCTTCGTGTCCGCCTGCCCTCTCTCGTGGTGAGCGTCGCTCCTCCTCCTCCTGCTCCTGGGCCTCCTCCTCTCCTCCCGCCTCTCGTCCTCCCCGTCCCTGCCCCCGTATCTCCCCCTCCCATCCCCCCCCTCCGTTCTCCTCTTCACCCACCTCCCTCCCCCTCCTCCTCGTCCTCCTCGTCCTTCTGCTCCTCCTCCTCCTCCTCCTCCTCCTCCTCCCCCTCCCCCTCCTCCTCCCCCTCCTCTCTTCCTCCTCTCCTCCTCCTCCTCTTCTCCTCCTCCTCCTCCTCCTCCTCCCTCCTCCTCCTCCTCCTCCCCTCCTCCTTCTCCTCCTCCTCCCCCTCTTCCTTCGGCAGGGCACCAGCCAGTGGACAGGCAGGGCACCTGTCAATGGACAGGCAATCCAAACTCCCCCGCCCTCCTCCTCCCCCTCCTCCTCCTCCTCCTCCGCCCTCCTCCTCCTCCTCTTCCCACCTCCTCCCTCCTCCACCTCCTCGTCCGCCTCCGCCCTCCTCCTCCTCCTCCTCCTCTTCCCTCCTCCTCTCTTCTCCCTCTTCCCTCCCCCCTCCTCCCGCGGGATGGTCGACGATTCCTCCGCAATCACCTGAACCATGCCGATCTCCACCATCGCCACCAGCACTCCCCACCGAGAGTCGCTGGACATTTCCAAGGGAGGGAGAAGGAGAATGAGGGAGGAGGAGTGATGATGGAGAAGGGGTGACGACGATGGGGAGTGGATGAGGGAGGAGGGAACACGGAAGATGGAGGATGATGGAGGCGGAGGGATGGTGGTGGTAATGATGATGACGACGAGGATGATGCTGCTGCTGCTGCTGATGATGATGCTGGTGCTGCCAGAGATGATGCTGATGATGATGATGCTGATGATGCTGCTGCTGATGATGATGATGCTGATGCTGATAATGATGCTGCTGATCACGATGATAATGCTGACGATGCAACAATGATATTGATCTCGAGTGCAATCTCGAGGACGACGGCGACGAGGATGATGATGCTGATACTGATGATGCTGCTGAGGATGATGCTGATCTCGATGCGGATACCGACGATGAGGATGGTATTAATTAT